TCTGGCAGCCTATCCGGCAGCCTATCCGGCAGCCTGTCTGGTAGCCTATCCGGCAGCCTGTCTGGCAGCCTATCCGGCAGCCTGTCTGGCAGCCTGTCCGGCAGCCTGTCTGTCCCTTCGCCTGGCTAACTCCCTCTGTCCCTCCCCCCGCCCCCTCCCCCCACCACCACGTCCAATACTTCCTCCCTGCTTCCCACAACAGCACATGACCATCCACGAGCCGCTCAAGCTGAAGGCCCTTCTCCAAGACCACCCGGCCTTTGCATTTGCCACACTCGAGGCACTGATTACCACTGGCGTCATTCGCGATGATCATCCTGTACGTTTGTGTGTGTGTGTGCCTGTGCATCTCCCGCATTCCCCGCCGGCCGCCCGCTGCTGGTCGCACTCCCCGTGCCCCTCCCTACCATGCCACAGGGTAGTCCCCGCGCTTTGGCGGCCCCCCTCGCCGCGATGCTCACCTCTCGCCCCCCTCTTTGGCCCTCGGCATGCTGCCGCCAGTCCTTCCACACGGACTATGACTCATCGTACTCTGGCACCGGGGCCGGGGCCGGGGCCGGGGCCCACCACCCTGGCATCGTTCTCTCATCCTTGACGTCGCCGCCGACCACGGCCGGATCGCCGCCAGGCTTCGCCCCTGGGCCTCCTCCGGGTGCCGGGCCGCCGATGCATCGGCACCCCATGGTGCCGGGTGGCATGCCGCCTGGCGGCCCGCCGCCGCCGCCGCCCGGTGGCCCGCACCTTGGCCCGATGGCTGGCGGCCCGGGTGGCTCGCCACCGCCCGGGGCACACCTGTCTCCGCCGGGGGCCGGGGGCCCGGCCTCCCTGCCGCCCGGGCCCGGGGGGCCTGGCGGTCCGGCCTCTCTGGGGTACCACCACCCGCACGCGGGCATGCATGGGCCCCCGCCGCCGGGCGGTGCCCTGCACATGCCGCCGCCCCCCGGTGGCCGGATGCCGGCTCATGGTGGCAGCCCGCACCTCATGCACCCGCCTCCGCCGCCGCACCGGTAGCGGCGACGCTCCCCTTGGTCCTCTTTTTTTTTTTTGGGCGTGCTGCCGCACTCGCCCCTTGCCCCCCCCCCCCCCTCCATCGGGGTCTAGTCTCTTGTTCCAGTTCCCTCCCTCAGCCTGGCGCGCGTTGTGCCGGGCTGTTTTTCCACTCCATCCGCTTCCTTGCCCTTGAGAATATACTGCCAACGCATCGGCGCTCCCCTGTCACGGCGATCTCGGCGGTCTTTTGCCGGAGGGGGGGGGG